AACATTCCTTTCAATTCTATTTTAAAAATAAAAAAAAATATATATATTCAAAAAAATATATATTTTTTTTTTTGAGCGTGTTTTAAATATTATTTATAATCATGATTTAAGTGTTTGATAGTCGTGTTTTGAGTTATGAGTTTTGAATTGAATTTTTGAAAACATAAAATTTGTTGGTTATGAATGGTTTAAAAAAAGTTTTAATTTGTATTTTTGAAATTTGTTGGATTAGTTTTTAAAATATTTAAAAAATTTCTTAATTTTATTTTTTAGGGTAAATATTTATTTATTTAGTTTAATGTGCACTATATTTCATACATTTGTGTACTGTATTTTTTTTTAATATTTTAAATATTAAAAAATTTTGCTTTTTATTTTAAATATAAAATTTTTATTTTAAATTTTTTATTTTTTTAAATATTTTATTTTATTTTATAAATATATTTTTTAATATTTTAAGTTTTTTATTATATGTTTAGTTATGATTTAAGTGTGAAGTTTTGAATTATGTATTTGGTTATGAATTTTGAAAATAATTTTTAAATTGAGTTTTGAATTATGTGTTTAGTTACGATTTGAGTATGGAGTTCTATTTTGAGTTTAAAATATTAAAATTTAAAAATTTTAAAAATTTACAAAATAAAATAAAATATTTAAATAAAAATTATATATTTAAAATAAAAAAATAAATTTTTCTTAAACATTTTTTAATATTTTAAAAAAAATAAGGAAAAATTACTCACAAGTCTCATATTAGAAAATGTTATTCCATCTAGTCCTAAGTGTTTCTTTATAAACCATTTAGTCCTTTTTTTATATCACAACATCATCATCAAAACATCAAGCATCATCATCAAAACAACATCAAACATCACATCATCATCATCAAACAACATCAAACATCATCATCAAAACAACATGCAGCCTCCCCATTTTTCTTCGTATTCAACATTAACTATACCATCAAAAAAGTTGAGGCTCAGATCTACGAATGAACAGGCGAGAATCTGAAAACGCCATGGCTGCAACAACAATTGCCCGTGAGAGAAGGAAACAAATAGTAACCCATCTCCCTCTCTCTATTTCTCACAGAGCCGCCGAACTGCCCCGCCAATAAACGGGTCGGGTTCTCAGTGCCCGACTCATGTTCTCAGAAGAAAATACAGTACATCGTCACAGCCTCTGATTGATTCGCCGAAGACAGCGCCATTGCTAGGGTTTGGAGGGATGAGATCAACGGCGGCCGATTGGTCCGCCATTGCTAGGGTTTCCAAAACACGTCGGAGTTGAGAGAGGGAGAGAGAGAGAGAGAGAGAGGTGATTGCGAGAGGAGAGGGAGGAATTTGATCTGAGATGTTTTTGATGTTATGATGATGTTTGATCAAAAAAGTTGTTATGATAATGTTTGATCAAAAAAGTTGTTATGATGATGTTTGATCAAAAAAAATTGTTATGATGACGATGTTTGATCAGGAAAAATTGTTGAATCGTTATTTTGATGATGTTGTGATGTTTGATGCTGTTTTGATGATGATGTTTGATATTGTTTCGATGATGTTACTCATAAATCTGATGTTTGATGAATAATCCTAATGTTTAATGGTCGATGTTTGATGAATAATCCTGACGTTACTAATGTTTGATGTTGGATGAATAATTCTAACGTTGCTAATGTTTTCACCGACATTATACAAATAATCCTGCCATTGCTAATGTTTGATGTTTGATTAATAATCCTGACGTTGCTAATATTTGATGTTTGATGAATAATGTTTGATGTTTGAAAAGAAGAGAAATCATAAAAAGACCTATAGTAAGCTTCTTAGGAAATAGGACCTATTAGTCCAACAAAAAACCTTCAAGACTAAATGGGTTAACATTCCCAAATTTGGGATTTATTGGTGTTTAAAAATTTTAAAATACAATTCAAAATTCAAAAACTCTTTTCAAAATACTTTTTAAAATTCATAACCAAACAAATTTTCTCTTTTAAAAATTCAACTTACAATTCGACAATTAAATCATAACTTCACATTCAAATTATAATTTCAAAACTAAACTAAACTTATAATTTCAAAACTAAACTAAACGGAGCCTAAAATAGCAAATCATACATATTAATAAATCACTTTTTTTTTTCACAAATATGCAACTGAAAAAACATTCCCCACACACCAACTTTTTTCACTGCATAACAAAATCAAAAAGTACTAAAAATGACTCAAATTATAATTCCAAAACTAAACTAAATGGAGCCTAAAATATCACATCATACATATTAATAAATCACTTTTTTTTCTCACAAATATGCAACTAAAAAAACGTTCCACACAGACTAACTTTTTTCACTTCATAACAAAGTCAAAAAATTACTTAAAATGCGAAGTTGCTTACCAGGCACTTAATAAATGAATTTAAACCTGTTGGGTTAAATTAAATATGAATTGTATTAAAGAACCCAATCAACCCGTTTACTTTATTGAAAAACAAAAAATCAATAGATGATGGTGATGAAGGTGGAGAAACGACTAATGGTGGTGGTGGAGTGTCCGTGACAATTATGGTGAAGTGGTAGTGACGTGGTGGTGGTGGTGACGGCGACATAGAGATAATGGTAGAGGTGGTGGTGTAGTGTTGGTGGTGGTGGTGGTGGTGGTCATGGGGTTGGTAGCGACAACAGTGGTGACGGTTTGGGGCAATGTAGCAACAGTGATGGTGGAGGTAGAGTGGTGAAGTTGTGACGGTGGAACAATGGTGGTGGTGTTGGTTGTCGTAGAGTTGTCATGAAGCTGGTAGTGATAGTAGTGGTGGTGGAGGTGGAGGTGGTGATGGCGGAAGTGCAGGTGCTAGTGGTCCTAGAGGTGGTGGAGGTAGCGGTGATGGAGGTGTTGGTGGTCATGTAGTTGTGGCAGTGGTGGTTGTAGTAGTGGAGTGGGAGGAAGTGATTCCCATTTAATGGGTTTCAACATATATCAAGGTCCAATCCATTTAAATTTAATTCTAATTGAGCTTGAAAGATGCAACTCATTTACAGATTTGGATGGATATAAACGAGTTTTAAATAGGTGTAATTGGGCGGGTTCACTGTTTTGAGTTGAGTTTACCAGCTTTACCTTTTGGACACAATTAATCGTCAGATTTTTTTTATAGGATTGGATGAAAATTGGATTATTGATAAGATAATGATAATAAGTTATACCAGGAGGATTGATGGGATAAAGAATTGGATATGTAATGAGATTATGAATAAGATTGTAAGTATAAGTGACAAATATGCAAGTCAAAACAGATTCATTAAAACAACCCGAACTGAACCTGTTCAAACAATATCAAAGTACAGTTTATCAAGATCCAAACACACATATACTCCTTAATCCCATACTAGTTCCGTAGTCCAATCTGCCTCCACGTCTATACAATCCCTCATTTGTACTCCTTGATTTCCACTAGTCACGTCAACTACACAATAACAATCTATTCTCCAACCATCCAATCCACATAGAACATTGTAAGCAGCCCCAGAAATGATTGTGCAAACCAAAATCTGTATGAATGCAAGACCAGACTCGCTAAATCTAGATGCCACAAAGATCAACCTAATCGTTGTGAGTAGAGAATATGAATTGGACTATACGAAAATGCTTGCTCAATATAATCTTGACTCTATGTATCTCATTACACTGACAAATTCGTCATGTCATATTGGAAAGAGAAAACTTGAGGGGGCAAGGAATTAGAATCCCAAAGAATTATGACCCAAATACAATAGGAAAAGCATACAAACAACACGTGTTAGAATGGAGTATCCATTCTGTTTGACAACTACACTTCATGTGTCAAAACAGAATGGCATGCATTCGAATGAAATACTGGTGCCTTCAAATAGTGAAAACACTTTAAAGTTACGACAATTAAAGGCATCCTTGTTTGAAAGGAGCTTCAGTGCATTCAAAGTACATATCATCAGACCAATCTGAAGCTAAGTGTTAGGAGTGTTCATGGGTTAGTTTGGTTCGATTCTAAGGTAAACTAAGAACCAAAATCAATTCCTACGATTCTAAAACTCAAACCAAACTATGGAAACCTTTAGAACCAAACTGCAAAAAGTGGTTTGGTTTTGGTTCGGTTCCACAATTCTAGGCTAAAATATTTACCACTATATCTAGACTATTGAGTTCAACAAAAATTTATTCTACCTATACAATTAGTCCGGATCTTTATGCCTTAATGGGAATAATGAAGGCCTCATCAACGTTGAAATGAGATTGAGGTTACAAGAAATCAATAAAGACCTCAAGCGGTTTTATTCGGTTTTATTCAATTCTTTATCACTTAATCCGTGAATTGAACCATAATCAACGTTTCTTAATTTTTTGAAATTGGAACTAAACCAGCTCCTCAAAAAATCGAACTACACCACACGATTTGGGCCAGTACAGATAAGTTTACAAATTTGTTCTAGAATTTTTAACACCTTAACTCACCCACTTTATAAGGCAAAATAACCAAGTTTATGGTTCTAATGGTCAAGCCCAATATATAAAACTCTCCAAATGATGTTAAAGCAATCAATAAGTCTAGGAATCCAGACTTATCCACCCAGATTTTTCTAGGTGAGTGGTTGTGTGACAGAGGGTAAATTTGTGCAGTGTGAGGTCTATATGTAGAATAAATCTGAATCACAAGATAACGATTCTGAGAAATTTTTGGGTAGTTAAGTCTAGGTTCGTAATATTACTGTACAGCAATACTCGAGCTTTGTCTTACCACTTAATTCAAACATTTTGGGTGTGTACCATATGCACCTCCCATTTTAGACATAATCAACATCACTTTAAGGCATAACCAATACCATTTTAGACATAATCAACATCACTTTAAGGCATAACCAATACCACATCAGCGTATAACCAAACACCACTTTGAATCATAACCAAAACTAGCCCTATCTCACCACCACTTCAAGCCATAACCAATTCCACTTGAGAAGCCACCTGAGCTTAGGGAATTACCAATTATAACTCAAACATTAACTGATGGAGTTCAACCAAAAGACCATAGATCTTCTTCCACTAATTCTAGAACAATTTCTAGAAGTTTACATTAGCTTCACATTTGCAACTACAATTGCCACAACTCTTAACCCCAAGTGGGTAAACCACAAGATTAAAAAAGAGAAACCCAATCAGAAGAGGAGGAATACAAACCACAAGTGGCTACAACAAAAATCTCAAAGAAAGAAGAAACTATGCAACTTAACAATTGACATTAAACTCATAATCAAATTTTCAGGACGACATGTTTATTACAGGCCTAATGTACAAGTGAGGTGAACCAGCCAAATTCCTGCAATACCAAAACAAATATGCATTCCCTGTAAAATACTTTAATGGTGTTAGTGTTATATAATTAACAACCTCTTTGTACCACCCAAAAAAAAAAAATTTAATCAACAATCTCCATCAATGCAGGATCTAAAATTTTCATGACTTTTACACATAATCTCATAATGCAGAAATTATATGAACATAATTAGTGTACCCGGATCCATTATCGCAAACCTTGAGAGATCCAAGAGTTGATTGAAGACAACCTTGAAATAACTCAAGGACCATATGGTCTATCTCTAATGAAATTATCTTAGCAAAATATAAGAAGCAACTTGCTTTATCGAACTACTTTTGAGTATGGAAAATATTGCTTTATCGATTTAAACAACACAACCTTAAATGATCCAACTAATAAAGAAACACAAGAATCCCAGAAGTTCATAGATTATCTGGAGGCTCCAGCAGTCCAGCCCCTTCTCCAAACCACATTTGGTATCACTTTTTAAAAAAATGTTCTCTTTTCTCAAGTACTACCTTTGCGCCTTTTCTGAATTTTCAATAACTGTAATTATGGGCGATTTTAATTGCCATTGTTTTTCTATTTCCAAAAACACAAACAAACCATAAAACATAGAAACCAAATATGATGCCAGCATGGTAGTCAAGAGTCTACGTGCCTAGTCCTTCTATCCATAGCAATAAAATAAAAGCAAAAATAATAACAATAACAACTTATAACAATAAATGGAACAATTGATTGATTATTGTTTATCCAAATCTATTCAGATACAATGAAAATGTTACCTGTTTCACGACAGCTTAAATTTGCGTTTCAAGAATGATACATGTCGAAGAGAGTTCACTTGTCTGAATTCAATATAGTAACTCCGCCAACACTTTCACTTTCCGGCAAAATTTCCCAATTTGGAGACTGAACAGCTTTCAACCATTTGAAATCATCCACATTTGCCCAATTCCCCGTTTCTTCATCAAGATTCGACTCTTTCAGATCTCTCTCAATCCCATCATAGCTCAGACAATACGGCGCAAACCTCACGCCACTGCAGTCCTCAATTATTGGCCGACTCCGCACCCTGAGATAAAAATCACTTGCCCTAGCATGATGAACCCTAATCTGATGCGATGCCAACACAAACACACACCCTTCAACTTCTTCAATCAGAACCGAACCAAACACCGGCCCTGTATACACTTTACAATTTTTCAATCTATGAATGAAAATCGCCCTCAAACAACCCGTCAACCGCACCTCACAGGAATTCAAATCCGAGATCGAAAATTCACCCATCTCCGACCCCTTAAACTCCTTCACTAAAACCTCATTTTCCATATTCCTAAACCCCGGCAAGTCCGGAACAATAAAGCTCGGTTTTTCCAAATCAACGTCATGATTTTCAATTTCGGTTTTGTCTAGAACGCCACTCGAAGCCTTCTTGCTCTTGAAAGCGAACTTTTTCTTGGGGAAGACCTCGGAAGTGACGTTTTCGAGGGATTGTTTGAGGGAAGAGATGGTTTGGAGGCAGGTTCGGACTTCGTAGGAGGGTAAGAAGTAGGAGTTCTCGGCGACGAGCTTTTCGAGGTCGGAGATCGAGATCGAGACCGCCTCGAGGTCGGATTTGAGAGTCGATTTGGAATCGGGGTCGGTGGATTGGCGGCAGCGAGTGAGATCGGAGTCGATGGAGTGTTTGGATTGAGAGAAACGAGAGAGGAAAGAGTTGGTGGACTCGAACGGGTGGGAATCGGGGTTGCGAGAGAGGAAGGGTTGCTTGCGGTTGGAGAGGCGTTCGAGCATGGCGGTGTGCTTGGGATGGGAATAGGTTGGATCTAGGGTTTTGTTAGGGTTTGACAGATCTTCTCCTTCCATTCTTGCGTAGCTGAGATGAGATCAGTGAGTGCACACATAGAGGTTCTGTTTTTTAGTTTTTAATATTTTAATTTAAAACATTATTATTATTTTATTTTTTTGATCTATTTAATTTAAACATATTTTAAAAAATTGTAAATTTTTTTTAATTTAATAAATATAAAGTAATATCAAAATATACTGAATTTTTGTAATATTTTTTTATATTTAGTGACTTTTTTAAAAAAATTATAAATTTTGAACTTCTTGAAATGTATCTAAATTAAATAGATTTTAAAAATTAAAAATTGATTAAAAAATTTTATAAAAAAAATACTAAAAATTTTAAAAAAAATACGAATTTTAAAAATTATTTTTCAAAATTTTAAGCAAAACAGAATAATTGCATTTTTTATTATTGTGTTTAGATGAACCATAAATAAAAAACAACACATTGTATTTTATTTTTAATCTCTATATTTAGGTAGGTACTGATAATTAAAATATATATACAATAATTTTGGTTTTTCATTTCTGGTAGGAAACAAAATATGAAATTTATTTCTCATCATTACTCGTCATTTTTCATCTCAAACATTCAAATAAATAATTCTCTATATCACTAGGGTTTTTTCTTGAGAAAATTACACCTCAGTGTATGATTTCAAAATAAATTTCAACTAAGTAATAAAGTGTATCAATTTCAATAATTGAAGTTATAAGCTTTTCCACCACTTTATTGTAATTTTTTTTATCTTACAAATGTTACATCATTTTCCCTTTTTTCTTTCCTCCCCGAATTCCTCAATCCAAAGGAATTATAAAGTTTAAAATGACATAAATGAAAATTAAATTGTAACAAACAAAATAATAATAAATAATCATGGTGCTTTTGCAATTATATCCTTAATACTCCTCAACCTTTTTTCCGAATTTTGACCAAATTAGTGAAAATTTTAAGTGTCACCTAAAATCTATTTCATTATTGAATTCATCTCAAATCAATAATCTGGCATAGTTCTCCAAACCCTTGCCACAGCACAACTGGTCTAGATCTGTTGCATAGCTACCTATCTACCACATTTTAGAGATTTAGGGCATAATCACAACTTCAAATGATTGAAGGAGAACCTCATTAAGGTTAAAAAACGAACAAAATAAATTGTGCGGAATTTAACAGGGCAGTAGGCCATGGGCGTCTTTCCCACGACATGGAAGAAAGGTAGAGTCAACAACAGGCTAACATTGATAAATATATTTAACTCTATGGTCTGATTCAAAATCAAGCCACAATTGAAACAATACAACCTTGCTATCAAGGGGAAAGAAGAAATGAAGAAAAAAGCTAGACATTTTCATTCAAAAACAGAAGTTTAGCTCATGCAGACTCCTTGGCTTCCTTTGCTTCCTTGGCTTCTGCAGCTGCCTCTTCCTCTTGTAACTTCTTCAGGGATGGAGGTGGCCTAACAACAATGCTTTTCTTCCATTGGCGATCGAGCTTTCTTGACAACCTTTTGTTAATTCCTTCTTCAATCTCTCTCTCCCTCTTCACAGTAAGCATGCGGGCAATCTGTTTTTTAAGCAAAATGTTATTTTTTGATAAGCACATACTAAAGATAAGTGTCAGAAGGGGGCACAACAACCCTGTACACAGCATTTACAGGGAAAAAATTTAAATGTACGAATCCCCCCAAAAAATAAAACCCAAAAAGGAAAATCCTCTTTGAGCCACAAAAACAAAAACAATAGACATCAACGACTTTCCCTTCGAGATATTAATAGAGCACTCCACTCCAAAAGATCTCCTATTCTTTTCTTTCCACATGCACTACATTAAAGCTTTAATTGGTTCACTGAAATGAAATGAGATGGAATGGAATGGTCAATCCTTTGACTCCTCTATAGAATAATCATTCCCTTATAATGGTGAATGATGATTACATTTGCAATATATTTTTCATTTGTTTTTTAGTCAACCAAATATGGGAATGGATATTTTTATGACTCGCCTGCTGGGCAGGTTGGACTTTAAATGATCATTTCATCAATCATTTAGTCAATCATTTTGCTCATCCTAATACTCACTGTAACATAAACAACTAGTCCTCTCATACTTCATTGCCTCTTAACAGGCAACAATTCCCTCATTCCTAAGGGCAGAGCCCCGACTTCTTCATTGTGGGGGCAGATGGATGGAACAGGGCAGGCATGGTACGGGCAGTCCTCCCCCGTTCCCTTTATTTAAGAGAAGTCCTACCTCAACTAATACCAACCCCATCCACAATGAAGCGGGGCTTTCAATAGGCAGGAATACCCACAGGTTTGCAGTAAATTTTAAATTGTTCACATAATTATTAAAATGTTTACTCAATGTGTCATACTGGCACACTCTTCGGCCCATAAAGCCTCACCTGTGACTCATCCAAGCAATGTGAAACTAAGGAGTAAAGAGAACACTTCACCAAAACAACTTAGTATTGATTATAGCTAGTAAACTCAAACTGATTGAGTCCTCAATCCCACATCAAAGAGAAACCAATGCATGACACACCCAAGCCTCTAAAAAACCAAGACTTATGGGAAGTGGTAACTATAAGGCGACATTGAAATTACGTCCATTTGTTTCTTGTGTGACCACTGCTATAGTGTTTTTGACTGGGCTAACCCTAAACTTCTCTTAAATGAACGAATGAGGGAGGGTTGCCCCATACCAAACCTGCCCCATTATATTTCATGTTTATTATATAAACCAACAAACTAAAAAGCCACAATGAATATAACTCTATTCCTTGATTATACAAATGAAACAAGCTTTCACATCCACAATGAATATATCTCCATTCCTCGTTTATATAAACCCTACTTGCAGATTAACACAATAACAACAGTAATTCTCCCTCTTCTACATCTGTCAATGCTCATTCCACACAAAATTTTAACACAATGTTGCATAATTTTATCACAGTATTCTTTCTTTATTTTTATTTTTACCTAAATATCACTCCTCAACTTTCTTCAGGTTATTGTCAAATGTGAATTCTGAGAGGCTCACTCTCTCACACTAGGAGCACAAATCTCTATTTTAATGAAGACCATAAAACTAAAAGCCTAGGCTCTTCTTGCAATTTGAAGTAAATTGGACTATTTACAATAAAATGTTAGCAATTCAATCCTCAAATTACACTCAAGATTAACAAAACAAATGTCAATGAAGCTACATATGTACATATCTATGTTATTAACGACCAAGAAGAGACTGATTTTGGTAAATTGAGAGAGAGTACCCTTTTGCGCATACGGCGAAATTCGCTGGATTTGAACTCGTTACGAGCGGATTTCTGGAGACGGAGCATGAAGAGCTCGCCTTTAAGGTCAACAATCTCTTCGTTGATTGCTTCGGTAGTTTTGGTTCTGATCTCTTTCAATTCTTCTTCTCTCTTCGCCATCATCACCACCAAAGAAGAAGAAGAAGAACTGGGGTTTCGGACATAACGCGCGCAAAGAGCGGTGCGAGCGGGGCACAAGTGAGAGATTCGAATGCCATGGAAGGTCGATTTGGAGCTCGCAGAGAGGATTGGCTTTGGAGGCAAGGTGACGCTCGACGGCGAAGCAATGGAGAGGCTCAGCATCGTCGGTGTCTTTGTTCGAGCACTATAATCCTCTCTCTCTCTCTGCTCAACAAAAAAAAAGAAGATAAAGAAGGATACACTGTGCTGTGCTGTGCTGTGCTGTGCGCGAATGAGCCCTTCTTCTGGTTTGCAATACTGTGCAATTAGCGGATAAATAAATAAAAATCAAAAAAAAAAAATCTATGGGATAAATTTCAATTCGCATGTATTTACCTATTAATCGTGGGTTGATTTGATTTGTAATTTAAAATTTATAAAAAAAAAAATCAAACCGTCTTGTCTCGTTATAATTAATATTTTTTTAGGAGGACTCTGCATGGAGAAGTACAAGTCCTACTAGGATTGTGCCGCGGAAAACTTATAAAAGCCCACAAGCATCACCTTGGAGGAGGTAATTGAACACAACCTTTCTGAGAACATAAAAGTTTGTCTATTTGTCAAGCTTACTGACTTAGGCATCGGAGAGGTTTCCGGCACACACCCGCCGGCTAGCTCACGTTTGTGTTTTCAGGTGGTATTACATGAATCTGATTTTTCTCAAGCCTAGTGTGTGTTTTGCATTTCTATAGAAAGACAGAACCGGAGGTTGTGATTAGTGGACATCTAACTTTAGTATTGTCAATCATATGAATGTTATTTTTTGCACTTTCTTTTATTTTTTATTTCTTAAGAAACTACTGAAAATTTTCATATAATTTTTCTTACTGTCAGGTTTGAAGGATTACCCTCTGTCCCTCCTATGGCAGATCTGGAGCCCCAACAACATAATTCCAGGAGGAGTGGCAGGGGAAGGCGGAATAGCAGCCCTCGACATTCTCAGAGTCCTGACAGGCAAAGGAGGATGATTGATCCTCAAGCCCTGGAAGATCGCGTGAAGGAACAAGATGAACTAATTCGAAAGATGGCGGCGGACATGGAGGCTTTGAAACGCCAGATGAAGACTAAAGATGCAGCGACAGGAGAGGGGCGCAAGCACAAGACGCCCCCTCGCCACTCAGAGAATCGTAGTAGGAACACTACACCCTCCCAAGGAGAAAGCAGAAGCCTCAGGACAGGTGACACTCATTCCTTATCTTCCAGAACTCGTCACTCCAGGTCTGAGAGGACGAGATCCGAAAGATCATACACTGAAGGAAGCACGTATTGGCCTTCGCACTCACACCAAACCAGATCTAGACAGACAGAGCTGCCCAGGTCATCCGACTTACGAACCGTGCTCGAAAAAAAAGCACGATGCAAGGAGGATGCCAGGGCGCGCGATCCACATAGAGTCCTTGCCTTACAACGGTTGGCTCCTCGGACGCATGGAAGCGTCTAGGTTGGAATGCCAATACCGCGCCCAGCGTATGAACCAACGGACAAAGCCTCAGTAAGACTACAGACTTCGCCGTTTGTTCCCGCAATTGAAAACGCGCCCGAAATTCACCACATATGAAGGGAAAACGGACCCGTACTCACACTTGAGCCACTTTCTCCAAGTCATGGCTGTATACAGGCGAAACGAGCCCTTGATGTGCATACTCTTCCCATCAAGTCTTGGCGACCTCGGCTTGACATGGTTAGAAAAACTTCCTGAATGCAGCATAGCCTCTTGGGCGCAATTGGCAGAAGCATTCGTAACAAGGTGCTTGACTTGGTTCGAAAAACTCCCAGAGGGCAGCATAGCCTCCTGGGCCCAATTGGCAGAAGCATTCGTAATAAGGTTCCGAACAAACACTAAAACGCCGGTGGAAATAGACCAGTTGCTCTCTATCGACATGGGTGAAAAAGAGACCTTCAGATCTTACAACAGTCGCTACTGGGAGACATTCAACCAGATTGGAGACTGCCCCACCAATCTAGCCATTGCGCAATATAAAAGAGGCCTACCAGTAGGGAACAGACTAAGGGATTCGATTACCATGACGCCGTGATGGAGAGAGTGCATCAGCACATCAGGGTAGAAGAGGATGGCGCACGAGCCAAAGCAAAATCTAGTGCAACCGCAGTGCCAGAAAAGAAGACCTCAGCAAAGGTCAATACAGTAGATCGGCAGAATAAAAACGGGCGTGGCAGACGAGATAACGGAGAAGACCCAGACAAAAGATGGTTGAGAATCCGCACTGCCATAACAACGGTGTTCAAAAAACCAATATATCGGATTCTGAGCGAAATAAAAGATGAGCCTTTTGTCAAGTGGCCAGCCAAGCTAGGGAAAGCTCAGAAAGATTACGATGACAGATCACGGTGCACCTTCCACAAAGAAAATGGGCACCGAACTGAGAATTGTATGCCGTTAAGACAACACTTGGAAGAGTTGGTGGCAGCAGGCCACTTGGACAAATATATTGAAGGAGGGACGCAACCAACCCTCCAAGACCATAATAACCATCCCAACGGAATGCCAATCGATGCACCGCCTCAAGGGTGGCAGCAGGCCACTTGGACAAATACATTGAAGGAGGGACGCAAACGGCCCCCCAAGATCATAATGACCATCCCAACAGAATGCCAATAGACGCCCCACCACAAGGCATCATCAATGTAATACATGGAGTCTTTGAACCTGAGCGTGTATGTGAGCTCAGGGGATCAATCAAGAAGGCTGAGCACTTTAGGGAAGTGTTAAGTGCCCAACCTGCCACCAAGAAGGGGAAGACAGAGGCCACAAATGTCATGTCCTTTTCGGATAAGGACTTGGATCGAATATACTGTCCTCACAATGATGCTCTGGTCGTCACTCTCCGAGTCAAGGATTTTGACGTCAAGCGGATTCTGATTGACCAGGGTAGTTCATGTGAGATCATGTATTACGACACATTCAAACAACTGAAGCTGCAAGACAAAGACTTGGCGCCTGCAGTTTCTCCCCTGATTGGATTCAACTCCATGCCGGAGTGGCCTGTCGGCAAAATAATCCTTCCAGTCAAAGCAGGGAGTGTAACAAAACAAATGGAGTTTTGGGTATTAAAGGTCCCCTCCACATACAACATCATCTTGGGCAGAACATGGCTGCATGCCATGCGTTCGGTAGCATCATCGTACCATCAGGTGATGCGGTTCCCCAACGACACCGGCCTAATTGAAGAAGTTTATGGCGATCAGATCATGTCAAAACAATGCTTCGCCACAGCGAATGGAAGCCGAGCTGCCAAAGGATACGTTCATTCGGTGGAAGAACCAGAAAGTAATGAGCTATTCGCAGACGTCGGCAAAGAAGCTGATCAAAAAGCGGTGGAGGACTTGGTGGAGGTGAAGATAGATGAGAAGAACCCGGATAAGTTCTTTTTGCTTGGCTCGTCGTTGTCCAGCACTGAAA